GCGGCGTGGGCATATGAAACAATTAGCGCACAATGCGTTTCGCCGAATTGTTTGCAGCACGCGAGATAATTCACCATTAAATGAAACGTGAAACATCAGCCACAAGTGCGATAATTATATTAAGCAGGAAGCATCGGAAAATTATATCAAAATAATAATAACTCTTAAAAGATAATAATTGTTTTTATTTTTCGAATTTCTTTATTAAATGCAAATGCAGCAAAATAACAATTCATTTCTAATTGTGAATTTTACAGAAAGTCACATAAAGTCCTATCAAAACATTTAAATTCTTATAAGAATTAAAATGTATGTAACTTTATATTGATAATTGAAGATTTGGGTTCTCGTTTTAGAAACGAGGTCTTGTTACTTTTGAGATCAAATTTTAATTGAGACATTTTTATTGAAAATTGAGTATGAGATATAAATTCTGCAGAGACAATTAGCGTCTATTGCTGGTAAATCTTATTATTAATTTAAATTTCATACTTCAGAATGCCAAAACTATATTTTGCTCACATTACAGAAAATAGATTATTTTTATTTATAAACCTAAAATTTTTTTCACGCAAATATGTACATTTTCTTGAAATTTTTACTTCCAAATTTCAGATTGATCAATTTGAACGAAATAATTTTAAAATACAATGGAGTAGCGTGCAATTTTTTCTCACGACCGAGCAAAATATTGTTTTCTATTATTTAATTGAACAAACTGAGGAACAGTGAGCTCATATGTCCCGCCATGAACGAGTTGGCTATATGCAGTCTACTTTGCGCAGCCTTGAAATATACGCGGCGCCACTTGCGGGCGACGTCGACGCGACGCACGTAGCGCCGCGTATCGTCGGAACGAGCGGAGCAGGCCGAGAACAGAGAGAACGAGAACCGCGTTCCGCCGAGGTGGTGCAGTTTTCGCCGTGTCGCGTAGAGTGTAGTGTTTTTCTTCCTCTCTTCACCCCTTCCCGTTTCCGCGTGTCCGAGTGCAGTGTGCATCGATGAGGCCGCCTGTACCTCCCCCCTGATGACTGAGTAGTGCATTTAGGTAAATTGTTACGAATATTATTTCTGCTTGCGTTAACACGACCGCGCCCCGCGCGGTGATCGAAAAGCCACGCGTTACACGACGGCGACGATGACGACGGGAACGCTCTCGGCAACTGAGTGGACCGTTTCGTGCGCCATCATACCGGACACGCCGGCGTGTCCTCGACGCTGATATTAGCCACGAAATAGCCCGACATACGCATTTCTCTCAGTTGCATTCAGGAAACTGCCTACGATCAAGTGTCCTTATTCAAAGAAAACGTGCAGAGGGAGACACATCGCTCTCGAGCTGCAATAAACGCTACCGTTCTCTTTCTTTCTCACTCCTTTTTTTTTCTTTCTCTTTCTTGCTCGTTCGCTCGCTCGCTCGCTGGGTCATTCTCGCATGGCGTCGGATTAAAGCGACGGCGACGCTTTACCGGCACGCGCCATGCCGCCGTATAATGACGATACGAACTTGTCTCGTTAATTCGGCAGAAATCGTGCCAGTGAGTATTGCGACGCGGAGTAATTCCGCGCATCGATAGCGATGGCTCGTGTTCTTCAAGGTGCTTTGCAGTCGGCCGAGCGAGTCGATATACGAGGCAGCGGGAACGGCAGGCGCTGGCCAGATCGAACAATCGGTTCTCGCTGAAGCTCAGTTGCACTCGGTTGCACCGACAGTCTGGATTGATTTATCGTGCCGACTATACGCTGTCTGTCGCTTTTTTACATTACGTTCCTATGCATCGTCCGGATAGAGGAAATGCAGTTACCTGGCTTGAACGTTGATCAACGTCGTCGTAATAACCAACACCTGTCGATCCGCATCGACAATTTCAGTTAATTAACGTCGGTCAGTGATTATTACTCTCACGCAAACATTAATTGAAAATTGTATGCAAACATACAAGATTGATGCAAAAACCGGTGCTTAAATACTGACTACATATCGGAGATCTGATTTCAATTACGGGTCTGTGAGAAAAATAGTTACAATACAATTAGTACTTCCATTTCCACGTGGATTAATTTTTTTTTACCAAATTGAATCTTTAAATCCCAGGTGGTTGCAATATATTGCGACCCTTTATCTGAAAACCGAGTGAAAAAGGAAAAATTCCAGCGGAATTAATGACAATCGACGTTGCAACCGGTCTCTAGATACGGCATTATCGAGAGGAGAAAGAGGAGAAGATAGACGCATCAGGCTCTCCTGCCGTTAGGTTTCTGCCGTGACTGTACCGCTTCTGGTCGACGACTCTCGCATGCATCTGCGTGTCTTTTTCCACGCGCTCGATACGCGTAGCATGCTCCTCGGCGTCGAACACAATGCCGTTTTCTTATTCGTGCACTCCCGTCTACTCGCATTCGGAGGAAAAATCGCTCGCATCTGATGCAGCTGCCGGCGCAGCACCGGCGTTGCAGACCTCGCCTAATATCTGCCGTGTCCGGACCCTTCTCGAGACATGATGCTGAGTAGGGACGAATATATTCAACCGACGAGACGGATACTTTGAGAAGACAGATACTTTCGAATTCTTTTCGAATTAACAGGCAAAAAAATTACTATCGGAATTTATAATAGTCACAATTCTTCTCTCTGTAAATTGAATATTTTTTGAATGGCGCACACATGCTTTCATAAATTACGACAATATATTACAGTATAAAGACCGGAACGTATAAGCATGTTTCACGGTTAAAACGCGCGAGTGTACATTTTGAAACAGTATTAACAGCAAAGAGCGTGTTGTAGAAAATATTTTTTCCTAGTTTCGTAAGCGAAATGTTTGCTTTTTTTCAAAATTCTGATATAATGAGCTTTCTCCTGCATTTCATACTTTTTAAAATATGCAGTTAAATTATTTAACATGAAAATTTTCCGCGTATGCATGTGAGAAAAATTAACTGTGAGTGGTCGTATATTTACGCTGGCAGATGCATGATCAAATTCGTATTTCGTCATTTATTTCCGTCGGTTTTGGAATACATCTGCCGGATCGTGTAACGCGAAAAGGGGGACGGGCTTCGGGTATTGATAGTGCAATCAGTTTTCAATAAAACACTGAATGTGTGGAAGTTTTAAAGGTTCGAATTTCACGCTACATCAACCGGCAATATGGTAGACGATCAGTGAACTATGTTTAATTCTGCTCTCTTGACCCGTTCGCGATTGTAATTAGCCGATTGCAAGTGGTATTGCATTCTATTACATTGAAGATGATTGTTTGATATTTTATGAATTCAATTTTATTGTGACGAAGATATCTGCGCAATTAATGTTCGCGCCGAAATTTAGATTCTAAAGGCCTGTTGAAAAGTTGGAATCTCGATTGATAAAACATCATTGAAATCTGAACTCGAAAAATGTTTGATACTATTCACGTGCCCATAATGAGATCTGAAGATTAGATAACTCGTATTTTAAATCGTTTATTTCGGAGATCAACGGATCAGAACGTGTGGGATTTTATGCCACGTTGTACAGCCACTGATAGTTTAAGAGCTGGTTTACGAGTTACATAAAAACTCGCTTATCTCGGAATCGTATTTTGCCGTCGGGGAAATTCGCACTATCGGGAAGTTCATCAATCGACCTCTTACAGGTTTTTCCGTCATTAATTTATTGGTATTACATAAAGAGTCTCACTTTGGCAGTCGGCGAGAAATTTTATACTCGAATTTAACATGTAATTGTTCCGTTCGTACGAATTTTCTCGACACAGAAGGATTTACACAAACTGATAAATGGCGTGTCGTCTTAGATTAAACGAATTGTAGATGGATCTCGCTTGTTTCGCAATTGTCCGGGCAACGACCCGTGCTTTATCAAAAGTCCAGACAGTTTAATAAATACTTAGAAAGAGAGCGTGTGTAACAATAATAATTCTCGGTTGATTAGCTTTTTGGTGAAACATGGTTAAACTCCACTTATGTTAAACGCACGTATAACGGGACGTAGATTACACTAAATTCCACAGTCCAATTGCATCGTGAGCTACGGCGGAGCAAAACGACGGATGGCAGTCGGTCGATTAGAGAGATAGCGAGAGATAATGTATATCGTTTCCTAAATCCCCTCGTATGACATCTACTAAAACGGTTTCCACCCATTACTTTCTCACCCGATATTTTACTTGTATAAAATTGAATAAAATAGCACAGTTCCGTAATAAGTAATTTAAACCGCGGTAAATGTCAGTAGTTTGCGCAAAAAATGCGGTAATTAAAGAGATAATGAATACGATACGCATGAAGTAAATAGATGTGAATAAATAAATAAGGAAATTTATTTTATCTTGCAGCGAAATAACAAAAGAACTTTTGTGTGTATTGGTATTACAATATCTTCTAAAGGCGTATAGAATTGTGAAGATACACGACGGTAATTAGGTCGAAAAATGCGGAGAATCTCGTTACGGTTGCAGATGCAAAACTAGTCTACGACAGTCGCAAGTTCGCGCGGTGACTCGCTTGGAAAGTTGCGCTTGGAACTGAAGTGACCAAGTAAACTTTTGCACAAAGCTGTCCATGAAACGCGATAAACGTACGCAGCCTAGAAAACATATCGCGACTCTGCGCGACGCTAAGTCCTCCGTTGCTTTGCTTTATGCTACATTATACGAGTTTGTCCTGACGCATTTTGCAAATATTTGATATCCGAAATCGGCGAATCTGAATTTTATCGAATTTCCTTCGTGCGCGAACTTGTTCTGAATTGTGTATTAAAGTCCTTTAAATATAATGTCACATATTTAAAGTAGACATGATTGATCTTTGGAACTTCGAGCGAGCAAAGAGCACTGTACAAACGCAATCTTGCGCTTTCGAGCAAACGTTCGAAACTTTCAACTTTATATGTTTTCATCGCAAACATTTAACTTCTTTGCTACTTTTTGCATGGGGTATAACGGAAAATTTTGACGTCGATAATTTTCTTACGGCGAGTCCCTCGGTGTGGCTCTCGCGTGTGCGTGCCTGAAATGAATGTGTACAACCAGAAACGCGTTCTGCAGTTCGTAACGGACCGACCGAGCAAACCTGTCTCGTACCATGCTCGTAGGGGTCCCCTCATTGAAGAGAAGGGGGTATGGTGGGGCGCGGTTAGGCCTCCTTCCTTTAGAGAGGGAACGGGAATATCACGGGAGAACTTCTCTGTTCAACCAGGTTTCCAGCAGCCTATCGATCGGCTGCAACAACTGGCGGTGTGGCTGTAATTAACATTAGACAATTGAAAAATAATGCCGTGGAATGTGTGTGCTACTTGATCGCCTACGATCCTTGTCTTTTTCAACCGTGTTGTTTTGCAAAGAAATATTTCGAGATGTGTGAAAGAGATAACAATTTTTATTTTAATTACGAGTTTTTTCATTTTATCTGCTCTTTCGTAAAAGCATTCCGTTCTTGTGTTTATGGAAATAAAGCTGCAAATACGTATACGCTTTTGCGCAATATTTACGAAAACTCGTATTTTTCCTACGATGTTCACTAACGTGAATGATTGAAAACTGCTGCATTTCGCGAAGAATTGAACATTTTTTTTTTCTTCCTGCGCAGTAAATTTTATTTTCGTCTTTTATTCCCGTGAAACTGACGTTTATTTCTTTTGATTTTCCACAAGCATTACAAATGGCACCATATATTATATTTACGTTTCTGTGTGTGAACGAGAAAATATTACAGTCCTTTTATCTTTATGTCCTTCAGTTTTATGTACAATATTTGGCAATCTTATTATCGATATACAGGATAAAGCTTTCGAAATCAGTTCAATAAATCTGAATGTTGCGTATCGATATCTTGCAATATTAATTGTTCATTGCAATAACTTGCAAATGTATTCAATAGTAACTTATAAAGAATGCGACACGGAGTGTCGCATAAAACGGATCAATTTTATTCATAGACTCAGCGTATCGTCTTGTAATTTCCAAACAGGCTAATCTAAGTTAATACTGTAGTGTATCGCATTCCCAGAATTGCCGCGCCTTGTCGGCCGCTTGGCCGCTTGCTATTGTTATGCTAATTTCGAAGTTTATCTAAACCGTTCATTCCTGTGAATTCAACGCTCTGATAAACAAATTCCATCAATGATCTCTTATACTATATAAAGCAGCAAATTTAAAAGTTTCATTGGTGAATCATTCTACATTTTTAGCTTATGACTGAAAAACAGAATGATGATAATTTATGATTTGGAAATAAAAGAACAAATGTGTGACAAGTATTTAAATATTTGAGTCGCTTAATATAAAAAAGCATATTTCCATTAGATCCAACTTTTGAAACACAAACATTTTCACATTTCAAATATGTTAATTTTTATATAAATTTAAAACTTCGCAAACTCACATGACCAAATAAAATGTTACGTGCAATGCTCGTTTAATATCAAATGACAGAGCTATGTACATATTTGAAAATTCTATAAATTTAGTTATTATACTTTCTTTTAATATTAAATGTTTTATCTATGCTTTTATTTTTCACAAATATGGAGCATTACACATTACATTAATTCAGATGTTTGAAGCTTTTGATTTTTTTTTCTTTGCTTATCAAAAAAGAAAAAGATAAATACGGTTTCATAATCGTTGATGTTTCTCTGATTTCAGTGCAAGGACTGAGCATACCTGGGAGCGCTTGAGAAGCACGTCCCCCGAGACTCCCCCGATCAAAATCACTCGCCTAACCTCTCCCCTGCCCTCCTCGCCCTCCTCCGCATCCTTCCCCTCCACGAACATCGAGAAGGTCTCTCATCGAATCCACAGGATCCGCCACGCGATGGACGGCATGGACACCAAACCGGTGTTGAACGATGATCCCTCGGTCACCCTGACCATCCGCCTGATTATGCAGGGCAAAGTAAGCTATCCGTTATATTTGCGCAATGATTTCATCGAGTTACAGCGAGTTGTAGAGTTTATCGAATGCATTTAACCGAGTTTAAATTGGCATTCCGATTGATCGGGCGTATTTATCAGGCACATAATTTTATTCGCACGATTCATTGTGGATATCCATTTTTTTTTTTTTTTTT